CTCTGAGTGGGAGTAGATTCTCCAGATAAACTCAGATGCCAGGCTAATTTCACAAACAAAGCAACAGCTGATTTGTCTTCATCTCACTGAGATGTACATGTCATTGTCAGCGTCTGGATGACTGCTTTATTTGATGGATATGCAGGCCGATGGGGGGGGGGGGGGGATCCAGGGCAGTGGAGACAATGCTGCCCAAAGTCCCCCCAACCTTGTTAAACACACAAACAAACACACACTTACACACACATTGGCACCACAAGACTAATCCTCTTAAGTGTCAGTCTGAACTGTAGGGGCACAGCACGCCTGGTGCCCCCACTGTGGGTGCTGACCTCATTTCCACTGCTCATTTCCTGCCCTGGGCAACACCTTTCTACAGCTCCTCTGTGACTCCTGTGTCCATCCAAAAAAAAAAAAAAATCCCCTGCTTCCTTTTTTTTCTACACCACTGTAAATCTATCTTTTGAATATCAAATACTCACCTCCTCATGGGCTAAACAGCTGGCTCTGAAAGTTTGTAGCTTCCTCCTTCGCAGAGTAGTTTGGATTCACAGCAGTTATAATAGATTCCAATGGAAAAAAAAGTCAAACATCTCAAACCACTCATGTAGCATAACCAATTTCTCCATCATTGAAACACACCGTTCTGTTTGTTTCAAACCCAACAGATACAGTACACCACATATTTCCCTCTATGTAGCTCCAAAACATAGAGATGTGTATTAATTTAGCGATTTGCTAACATAGCAATGATTGTCCACATCACAGGTTTCCAACCTTTTTAGCTTGTTACACTTTGTAGCCACTGTCTACCCACAATCCCTTGTCACAGGCTGCATGACTTGAAGCAGGTTAAGCAGAGTGATGTTTGCTCTTTTCTTGTAAAAGTCAGAAAAGCAAAGATTTGAGAAAGGCCAGACGGCTGCAGTGCCTCCAAAGAAGAACAAGGGCGCTCGACTTTATGTCGGAAGAGATTGCAATCTCTGCAAACAACAGAAGATTGACAATGGATTTGATGGGAGAGTTCAAGAAAGTGAAAAGACAAAATGTCGAGAAGGATAAGAAGATTGCAGACCTGGAGCAGTACTTCCACATGAACGACCTAATTGTCAGTGGGTTGGAGTCCGGGCCCCGGCCTCTGCGGCAGGTGGAGAGCCACTGTGCCTGAACTGGCCCCCCCTTCAGCAACAGGTGATCTTCAGCAGCAAAGGCATATTCCTAGACAGCAACGATATCGAGGGGTGTGCATCCCCAACAAAATAAAATTTGCTTTGTGAACAGAAAACAAAAAAAAATGCACTCCTCACACAAGAGAGAAAGATGAAGGGATCCGACAGGTATGTGAAGGAACACCTGATAAAGAGAAATGCTGACATTGCCAGACGCTTTCTGAGAAAATGGAACAACATCGACGTGGATAGCAAACCGAAAGGTGTTCATAAAACTGAGCTGGGCACCAGAGGAGGCAAAAGTGCTGGTCACCAGAGACTGCAGAAATGGAGAGAGTAGCACACCAAGGTGATGAAACAAATGAACATCACTCAGTTAAAATTATTTGAACTCAGATCAGCTCGCTAACGGCATGAAGCGTAAGGACAATACTGTTACAAATGTGAATGGGAACAGGACAGCTTGTAGTGCACAGCGTGAAGGGTAATGGAGAATTGTAAAGGAGTGGGTTGTTTAACAGCAGAAAATGAGCCAGATGGATGGATGGATGGATGGATACTTTATTTTTTTTAAATGAGGTAATATCATGTTTCCAGGGTTGATGATAAGATCAAATGTATAAACTTGCAGGTCAGCTGCAGAGCGCTGGAAGGCCTGTATGAAAAGACTGATATATGAATGTTGTTACAACACAGAGGAGTGTTACATCTATCTCTGATGCCTCTCTCTGGAGCGCTAAAAAACAAGGCGTTTTTGTGTCAGTCTCTGAGCCTGTCTTCTGATTGGCTGAATGTTTTCTGACTGACGAGCGGCCGGACCAACCACAGGTAACGGACTGTGGCCTAGTAATGTATCTTTCTGTATCTGTACTAAAATGCTCCAGTATTTCAGGAAAAATGAACTTGAGCCAGCTCTAGGTCTCTAATGTTACTGTCTTTGGGAAGGCTGCGTAATGATACATTGACCCTCTGACATCCAGTGATTGTGCAGCATTTTCTCAACATTTTTCTGTCTTGTAGCTGCTAGCTCAGTGATGGAAAGACCACCTGGTATTCTGATGTTAATAAGGTTAAAACAACATAAACAATGGACAGTGGGTCTGGTTGGGCCATACTGGAGGTAGCCTATATCTGAGGGCGGTGACTGTATAGTTGTGACATCAAAAAATTACAGAAGTCCTGACAGCTCGTTTTAATGATCAGTTTCTGCATATGAGCTGAGTATATTTCCTTGTGGATTGAGTGTTTTGATATTTTCAGTATTTATATAGAACCTACATCTGCTTTATGATTAAAGAATACACAAAGAATCCATGAGTGCATTTAGAGGTGAATTACTAACACAAAACTATAAAAGAGTATATGAATAAGAAGATAATGACAAAGTCTAGGAAGCATTTCTAAAGATTTTCAAATCATAATATGACAAAAACTGTGCACTAATACAGATCGGCTATGAATCAAAAAAGGGATATCAAAAAAAAGTATATGTATAGAGATTTCATAAAGTATAGATGTATAGAGACAGAGAATAATTATATAAAAGAATTAGAAAATAAGTTAATTAATATCAGAGGTGAGAGTAAGTCACATGTGCAAGTCTCAAGTCCACCAATTTGACCTTGGTCAAGTCATGTGACTCAAGTCCCCACCTCTGACTAATATTAGATAGATAGATACTTTATTTGTCCCCTAGGGGAAATTCATGTGTCCATTAGTTCATTGTTAGTTAATAATAAATAAACAGGAGGATATGTAAGAAGGAATATTATCATGAAATATTACAGCATAACAAAAACAACATTAAGGTCAAGTAATTGATTAAAGAGAATAGATAGGACCAGATAAGTATTTTATTTTATTTTTTACCATTTATTGTCTTGTCTTGCCTTTATTGTCTTGATTTCTTGTCATAGATTTTTTTCTATTGTTTCTATGGATTTTTTTGATCCATTCTTTGCCCTGAGTCCATCGTGACACCACTGTAACAGCTAGACACCCAGTCCCAGTCTACAGCTTCCATCCTCTGTGAAAGGACAAGCTGCAGTCTCTGTCAGGCCTACAGGAAGTGATTATTTGATGCTCCAAAGACATATTTTGTTGTAATATTTCTTCAATACTTCCCTCACACACCCTCTGTCACTTCCCCTATAGTCTCATGTCTTACTTTGTTTCTCTCTTCATCCATCCCAGATGGGATGTAACACCAGCTAAGTTGTCAGGCAACACTGACAGTTATAAAGGTAAAGCTTTTAGCTGCTGACAGTGTTTTGACTTACAGTAGATGGGGCCTGTCCACTCTCACCTCCATCTTAAATGCTGTCAGGAAACAGCAGCTTGCCAACTGCACAAACACTCCAGTCCTGCTGTCTGAGAGACTGTCGACTGTGAGACTGACCAATGGACTGTTTTACAGAAGCAGCTCGGGGGGGGGGGGGCGTAAAAAGCTTTGGAAAGGGTGGCTCTGGAGTCCTGGGACCAACTGGACACCAAAATTGTTCTCTGTCGATGAAAGAGGTCACACGTCATGTCATCTGTCGTACAGACTGGACTTGAAGTTCTCGAAACAGTACGGACTCAGTCGCTACAAAAACACTTCGCCTGTGCTCTGGTTGGTTGCTGCTGCATTGCAGTTCAATTTAGTTTTTGCCAGCCGAGAGGTCAGCAAGGTGTACACATGACATTACCTTGAAAGACTGACTCATTCCACAGTCTGCAGCGCTGTTTGACTTGCAGGGCAACATGAGCGCACAGGGACGGCATTAACACAGGGAATGGACTATTATTATTTACAGATATGGCTTTTGAAGGCCGATAGAGGGAAGTTGAAAAGAAAAGATTAATCATCTAAATGATTAATTCGCTCCATCTGAGCATAATGTGACAGTTTTTAAAAGTGTGTAATAATCACAAGATTTACATCTATGATGCCATTAAAATAAAGAATAAAAAAAATAGGAAGGAAACTTCAGCCAAAAATCACCTTCTCCCTGTACAGTCAAGCTGCTGCTTTATTTTAGATTTTAGTGAAAGTACAACAAAATAGCCCTAACATTTTATCACTTTATTTTCCACAAAGAAACATCTTTAAAATTGCGACAACAGCATTAACTTCAGTGAATCAAACAGACACAATTGGGAGTTGATGAGAGAAATAGAGTTAAAAATAAAAAGCAAAAAATAAAATCGGATATGTTGTGACTTCTTTTTTTTTTTTCTTTTTTTTCCTTAAAATGCACTTGTGGTAGTAATGCTCACACACACCTTCACGATATTTCAGTCAGTGTCACACAAGTCTCATTTCCAGCTCCTAATGTTTGGTTTGAGCCATCATTCACCTAATCCCTTTTCAGCATGACTGCACATACAAGTTCTCCTCTCAAATATGGCAACGGGAAGCGACTTCAGACTGTGCAGCCGGACAATTAGTCTTCGTGTCCGCTCAGAAACACTGTCTTTGAAAACAACAGGCCTCATCCACAGGCGTCCTGCTCCAACACCATTCTCCTCACACGCACTTCACTCTCCTCGCTTCACCGCTGCACCGTCCTCTTATTAGAGCCGTTTCAGGAAGCTCACTCCTCTTTAATACCCAGGACTAGACGGCACTTCCACTATCCCAGCTTCCTCGTGTCCGGAGAGTTAGTCCAATTTGCCGATCATTTCAAAACCACACAAATATGTAAACAGCTTAGAAAATATGCACACAGGCAACAAAAAAAAAGAGGAAAAATCCAAAGCATTTCTTTTCACAGCGCAGTGTTTCTTTTTTCCTCACTCCTCTGCAGTGCAAAAAATGAAAATATGAGGAAAAAACAACAACAAAAAACAATAAATAGACTTCCTCTGTTATATATTTCTGTGTTTGTATATATACATATATATATTTATAATAATGGGTCTCTACATGAGCACACAGCTCTTGGCTCGGTCCTTCCTCATGGCCGGGGCCTGGTCCATTTGCTCAGTCCGACCTGGCAGGGGTGGCAGGGGGAGCTGTGAAACTCGCTTCAGGCCCCTGCGGGAACTGCTGCGTTTTAACTGCGGCTTGTGCGGCCGCCGCACCGACGCCAGCGTGGTGATGTGGAACACATCTCGAACGCTGTTCTCTGAAACCTTGGAGGTGCACTCCACGTAGGCCACCGCCCCCATCTGTCGAGCTATCGTGCTGCCCTGCAACACAAAGACAGGCGAAGCAAAAGAGATCACTTTACCTGTGTGTGGCGTTTTTCAAAAACAGAAGCTACAAAGAGCTGTACAGGAAAAATTAAAGTGGAAGGGGAGACTACATGTAACGTTTTATCAGCTGTGCCGCAAAAACATGGTCTTGTGTAACTTTTTGACATCTTCACAAAGCACTGTTCTTGCACTTTTCCTCTTTTTAGTGGCTTTCAGCGGTTTTGTATTCTGCCTCTTTTCTAATAGAACTCCAGACAATGACACAACATTGTCTTATATCTTGTATGCTTGTATCCTCGGGCTTTTAGCATTTAACTTAGACATGAGTTTACTTCACATCAAGGTGCTGTGTGAGCGCTTCACAGAGAAACAGAAAGTGTTCAATATGCACACCATCCTTCACTGTGCCTTGGCATGAGCAGGCACCACATCTCAAACAATGGAAGACTAAATGTCCACGAAAAGAGGCAGCGGTCCTGAGACAAACGGTAGACTGAATGTCAATGATCTAAACATGTCTAGAGACAAATGAAGCTCCTCCATCTCAGGCATGAATAATGCAGAAACTCCAACTCCTCAGTCTGCGGTAGCAGAGCAGCACTGGGCAAGTGTTGACATGGTCTATGCAGCTATTTAGAGAGAAGAGACTAAACTCCTCCAGCGCCAGAGCTTACCCCTGAGTGATGTTACAATATACCCACTTAATTGAGACTGTAAATTGTTTGCTTGAGATCAAATCAGAGACAAATTTAATTTTAGAAATCCCTTGGCCCTTTCTCTTCACGACAGTATGTTATGGCTTCATCTACGGTGGCCCTGAGAGTAAGACGCACTGCAGCTTAAGAAAACACATGCAAATAGACAAAACACGAGCAACTTCAACAGTTTGACGACACAAGCCCTGCAAATACAAAACAACCAAATGCAGGAACATGCTGCAAGTAGAGCACATTCGACAATGGAAGTGTTTACAGGGGAAACTAAAAGGCGATGAAGCTGGCTGGGACACACTTGTTGTTCAATTGTTTGTGACTTAAAAGCAGAACGAGTGCTCATGGATGCATGATAATGTGTCCATGCAAGTGCATCCCAGCTGGGTTCATCACTTATTTGTGTCACCTGGAAACACTTCCATTGTTGTCTGTTGTCTGTACTTGCAGCGCATTTTTGCTTATCGGTTGTGTTGTATTTGCAGCGCGGGTGTATTCAAATTGATGAAGATGTTTTCTGCCTGTGTTCTGTCTGTTTTGGTGTATTTTCTTAAGCTGCAGTGCAATGAGCTCTCAGGGCGCCGTACTCATCTCTCGTTTCATGATCAAACCAAAAAAAAAAAAAAAAAAAAAACCCACACGGGATCAGCACGTGCAACGTTTCGTAACAGACGACCCATGACCCTCACCTCCCACGCTCTCCGACACTGAGCGAGCTTTTCATCCCCCGTGGACGAGGTTTGATTGTTATCATGGCTGCACACAGAGCCACATATAAGAAGCAGTGAGGTCCTTGTTAGGTGGAATGACAGATTTAGATTCACTGCCAGTGGCGGGGGGGGCGGGGACCTGACCAAGGTGTAGAGATTGTCGTGACAAGAGGAAAAGCTCGGGCAGATTAGTGCAGAAACGTCTGGAGTTCACCCAGTGGTCACTCTCGCCGGAAACTCCTCAGCTGTGTTGGAATTCAATTTAAGATCAACAACAGGATAACGACACAGGCTATTGGATTAGAGCACCAGAATGTTTAATGTGCGCAGCTTTGGCATCTGCTGTGTGACACACATTTTCTGGGCACGTTAGAGGCACAAACAGTAGCTGCCCCAGACGAAGACAGTGACTGAGAAGGAGCAAAAACAATAGTGTAATGTAGGCCTGGCCACAAATGGTCCCCAGTTATTTCACATTAGCTGTGTGGTTTGCCCCTCCATCTTTTGTTTATATATCTTATTTACATGTCTGTTTTTCAGTGGTTGATTTTTCAGATACAGCCCTCGGCAAGCTCTGAGAGCAGCAGTATAAAAAAAAAAAGGCTCTTTTGTTCTGAGGGCTTTTGTGTGGTGGTGAAAAAGCCCCTCCACCTTTTGTACGTCCAACACGGGGAGAGCACGAAATGAACACGCTGAAAGCTGATTAAAATTCACAGATTTACACAACAGTTTATCAACCCCTCCCTCTTCTCCCCATCCCCTTGGCTTAGAGGTCATGGTGGCATGTGATAAAAGGGCTCACTCATTCATCAATGTCCGTATTTCTATTCATCCTGCATTTTGAAAACCCCCTAAATCTGCACAAACATTTCATTTCAGGGAAAAATTGTGTCCCTAGACATAAACTCCACTAACCAGCCGCGCCTCCTGTATGGCCCTCGCCATACGCAACCTTACTTTGCTCGTCAGCAAAATTGCGTCAAAATGCCAACCCCAGCTACATGTCCCGAGGGGTTTCGTACAGCTCTTATTCTGCAGTGGTCGATTGTGTTGCACGAGCCTCCTCTTACACTCGCTTCCTACGGGACCCCCCCACTAGAGAGGCAATGCCGCTGCTGATCCAAGATGGAAAAATCACATATTATCGCTGGATTGCTTTCTAATTTATTTTCTGCATCCGTTGTTGTTTTCAAATCTGTCTTTCTTCCCAGGGCACCTTCCAAGTCCCTCTCCCATTACTTATCCCACCTCCCCCCATCCCCTCTCTCCTCAGATATCTATCATGTGCAAGTCCTCACCTGTTCATGAGTGACAGGGATGAGCCGCTGCTTGGAGAGTTCCCTCAGGGTGTTGACGTCCGTCCTCATGTCCAGTTTACAGCCCACCAGCACCACTTTGGCGTTGGGACAAAACTCTTGTGTCTCCCCTTGCCACTGTGGAGACATGAATCAGCAAGAAAGATACAGTCATACATCAGTGACTATGCCAAATATGAGAGTTTTGGGGAGATTAATGCTCAATGATAAAAGACATTTGTTCTCCTAAGAGGTCATCAGTATTCTTTAGATGAAATGAGTGGATGAGGTTAATTCCTCTATATTTCATTCCAATGTAAACTGAATATGTTTCGGTTTTTTAACTGGTGATTGGGCAAAACAAGAAGCATCAATCTCAGAGTCTGCAGTTCCTAGAATGACCACTTGTGGCTGGCTCCAACAGTGAGTCAATCCCTGTACACTCCCATGTTGAAATGTCCAACTTTACAGCAGAAATAAACAGCCTGGTACAAACAAGTTTTGGTCTCTATAGCTTATTTCCTCCTTCATGACAACTGTACAGGGGTGAGTGTTTATATAACTCACCTGTTTAAATATAATTAAGGTTTAAAGTTATGCATAATTGAGGGCATGGTGGCTTTGAGTGACAGGTGGGTGCCGTCACAGTTGGCTAGCTGCTTGGTGTCTAGCTGCTAGCTGTCTGTTCGGCGTCACTTCAGCTAATTCATGTCAGCCAGCAAATGAATTAGCCTTGGGTTAGCCTTTGAGCGAGATGCCCAGACACCCAGCTGTGCTAACAATGCTGACGGGAGAGTGTGCTTGCCACAGTTATCGAACCGACATCGTGCACCGAAGTCTCGGCTCCACACGCGCCCCGCCTCTTTGTCCATTTTTGGGTTAACCGAGAGCAAGGCGGAGTCAGACGCTGCCAAGCTGGAGATGGTGGAGCAGCTTCAAAACTGCTCTTCAGAAGCCTACGGGTGACGTCACAGAGGCTACATCCATCTTTATTTACAGTTTATGGCAAAACAAGCAATTCAAAGACATCACCTTAAGCTCTGGGAAACTAATAGACAATAAATAATTCATAAATACAATTAGTTAATGAAAAAGTTCATGTTTAAACTAATTAAAAGAAATGGTAACCGGTAACTATGGTAAGTTACTGTAGAGCTTGCGATAAAAATTGTCATTATTGATTAATTTTACTCTTCATTATTATTATTATTATTATTATTAAAAACATTGTTTGGTCAGTATATTATCAGAAAGTAGTGAAAAACTGACATCCATTGATTTCTACAGTGCAAGGTGATGTTTCACACTGTTTATTTTGTCTGACCTTGACTCCAGAAGCCAAATATATTGAATCTCTTTTCACACAAGACAAAGAAAAATCCTCACAACTGATGAACTAGAACAAGGGAATGTTTGGTTTTTGAGAATCAAAAGAGTTGACAATCAATTTTGGCTCTAAGTGAAAGCATTGTTAGTAAAGACACATCTCATTTTTTTATTATGCACTGTCACTTCTTCACTATACAATGAAAGTTTTATTACACATCACACGGGAAAATATGACAACTTTATTCACACAGGCTTGGTTCAGGTCTCTGCACTACCTACAGTGTGTTACACTTTCCTCACGCAGCCCCCGTCAACAAATCTATTTCAGGGTCTGGACAGAAAAGGTTGAGCAGTATTCCTTCTAAAATCACCCTGAGATTAAATGTCACTTCTGAGACTCAGATGGACCAACATAGTCTCTCCTCCCCATGACACACAGCAGCCGACAGCCCTGAAATGTTCCACATGCCGTGTGCAGAATGTCAGGCTGTCCATCCGTCTCTCACGATGAAAACGGCCTTTGACCTTTCAGGCCCGTCCCTATTCTGCCAATAACATCCAATCAAAAGCTTTGATTGTTTAACCCTCGCTCCTCCCCCAGCTGTCATCCAGAAACCTCAGTGACCTGCTTGTTTCTAGAGGTCAAGAGTCTAATTTGGGATTGTGATTGTGCAACAGGTTTTCCATGTGGCCCTGGGTTTCAAAGACTACCAAGGCAACAGCTACAGGTCAGGGGTCATGGCAACCCCCTGCCGAGGGATTCATGGGAAAACCAAAAGCTTGACGGCAGCTCTGCTTCCCCCTGTTGACAGAGTGCACTGAGGCTTGTGAGATATTTGTGGGTTAAAAAAAAAGGTGTCTCGGGTTAGATCTACAAAGTCTGCAGGAGCATTTTAGCAGCTCCCCTCAGACCACTAAACACGTCAACACGCCAGCCGTGGGAACTGTCTTTGGCCCGCACAGTTCAAAGGCGAGCGCATACACATGGCTTCAAGATGAGAGACCGCTAAAAGGCACAGGCCTGTTTTACATGACACACATGCACGCAAACAAAACCAATTAAGTTGGGTGTCTCTGCAATAGGTATTTCACAGTGTGCGGCACAAAGTCTGCCACTGGCTGTAAAAACACAACCATGACCACAACCTCGCCCAGCCAGTACCACATTGAGCTGCCACTCAATCGCAATTCCAGTAACGCAACATCTGGACCAGAGGCCCACCTTACAGATGTTAACTGCCACCACCATCTACCCAACTCTTCTGCATAATTTCAAATTTGAAATGGTTACAGAAAAGATCATTTCTAGTACTTTTTCACAGGCTTTGCAACAGCTCTTTGATATGGCTGGTGTGGCTAATTTGCATATGTGATATTCCTCTCGAAACCCACCCAGCTGCCTCTCCTCATTCTTCAATCTGACCTTCCATTCCTCAGAGGGACGTGGGTCAAGTATCCATGGACGTTTTGATGAGATAAAGGAACAGGAGGCTCCAACCTCTGTGCTGTTTTGCGCTCTATTGTTGAGCCATGAAAGTGTGAGCTGTTGGCACAGATATCTGTGTGGATCCAAGATGCTGATCGGGAAAAAGTGACTTTTTTCCGGTTGGTTCTCCAGGGTCAGAGCAGATATTAAATGCTGATCCAAAATCTTGAGAGAGGAGATGAAATAAAAAAAAAACAAAAAAAAACACTGACCTTCTTTATGACGCTGTCCAAAGTCTCTGGGCGGCTGATGTCGAAACAGATGAGTACAGCGTCTGAATCAGGATACGCCAGCGGCCTCACATTGTCGTAATAAGACGAACCTGTGGACACACGATAACATATGGCATAAGGTCATGAAGTCTTCTGAGAAATTCTTGAGTGTGCTTGTTTTTAACCTGATTTAACCCCCTGAGATCCTTCATCTCAACCATATGGCTCTTTCTGTCAAGTAGACACATACTGGAAGGTGATGGAAAGGTCATTAATATATGGATGGCCCATTAATGCAGGAGCAGTGACATGCACTTCAACATGCTGCAGCTTGAATACGCCTGTTTGTGCTCTGCAGATGCAAATGAGTCAGTTGTGTGCACATATTTGAGTATCTTTGGCCTTCCACACAGCTGTGGCCTCCCTTTATCACAGTGCTTCATGAGGAATGTCGAGGGGTTACTCAGAGTAAGTATACACACACACACACACACACACACACACACACACACACACACACACTCAGAAGTGAATTATAGTGGGTTGAGGACCGGAGGACCTGTGCACACGATCCATAATCAACCTGAAATGACGGCACAAAGGCCAAACTAAAGGTTGAACCCCTTAATTCTCTCGACTCATCCCCCTCCCTTCTCTCTTTCAAATGCTGCCTGTTTAAAAAAAAAAATTTCCCCCCACTCTTGCTTTTCATTCCTATACCTTGATCAAATTTGAAGGCAGAGTGGCGCCTCCGTACTTTCACAAGCCGCTCGGTTACACGGCTCCTGCTCTCTTGCAGCTCTCATTAGGAGGCTTGTAAAAAATATCTGGGGCTCTCTGGGAAATGTGGCAGTGGCTGTGGGCATCCTCCCTCCTGCCTCCCCTGGATGCCGGCGCGGACCTGAACTCCTTTTGATAGCAGCAGCACCCTGACTGCATAAATTTAGTGTCATGAAAACTCACAGGTTTGGTGACAGATCACCACATTTTACATTTGCAATTGCTAAATATGTACATAAATCTGTGAGTTACATTTTTTAGACGGATGCTGCACACTCCCCTATATAAAACAAATCCAATATTACATTTAATCCCTTAAGATCACACAGACTGATTATAATAATTACAGATAATCTTTGTAGTGGCTTTTACTGTGCTTCATACCAGACCTGACACAACAGGCAGTCGGCCCGTTAAAGCTGTGTGCCTTTTGTGTAGCAAGGTAAGTGGAGTCTGCACAATGGTGGTACAGCCTGTTTTAGCATCACTATGTTCTCTTTGTTAATGATGGAATGAGACTATGACAATAGCTGCACACGGCCCACAGCCTTTAGCATTCAGCAGACTGTCCTATGTTGACCTGCTCCCTATCCGCTCAGAACAATGCTGCATGCCGCCTGTCACCGTATCACAGGCTGTGTATTAAAGATTAATGCTTTTTGTGCCTCCACATGAGCGAAACACTCTTGTTTACATTCAGTGTCTCATCAAAATGCACTTTACCATCCAGGGCTAACAAATATCCTGAATGCCTACACTTCCTTATACCAATTTCTTATACCAAAGTTTTGAAATATGCATGAACTTGCAGACTTCTTCTTTGATCCTGCTGTTGTGGCATTGGTACCAACATGCATCAGTAGAATTGTGTCTAGGTCTATTGTGCCCTTGCATCAAATTGTGATCGTACTGTTTTTTTCATTGTCTGAGCAGCAGGTCCTTCTGTAATGAGTGGTTATGGGGAAAGGTGTTTCTGGGCCCCCTTGCGCATCACATGACAGTCAATTTTCGCCTGTAACAAACAGCGCAAAATTGCTGCACCGCCTGTCAGTGTCCCTGAGGGCTTGGTGCAATGCGCATCCTTGTGCATCTGGACGTAGAACTCAAAAATAATACAGGAACCCACTGATCAAACTGTTACTCTCTAGCATCTCTAGTGGCCAAGAACTATAAAGGTGGCACCTTTAAACTTTGCAAAAGCATAAAAGTAGTTTTGCATTTTTTGACAATATTGTTGTTAAAAAAAAAAAATAATGATAATACTATATATCATTTGTACTATGCTATAGACTACTTATGTTGTTATTATAATACAACAAAAGAATGTGACACTGTATTAGGGATGTTTATAGTCCTCTCTTCATCTTATTGATACGAGATCGCAACGGTCAAAAAACCCACCAAGACCCGGTAACATCAGGCTTTTCTTGGCAAAGGAAAAGGGTTCATTCACCCGGGTCAAATGACTCTGCAGTAGACACGGGTGTTTATTGGCCCCTGCTCTGATCGCCATTGATGTAATCACAACACCCAGGTGAACCTGTCAACGTTCACCCCATTTCCTGCTGTAACGTCTTTCAGATCACAAACACACTCTCAGCTGTCCAGCATTGTGTTGTTAAACCAGAAACACAGCGGCTGCACCTTCCTCTGAGAGTGAGCTGCAGCCCTGAAATAAGTTTTAAAACACAAGATCACTGATCGAAGCGTCTCACACGGAGGCTGAGACACTTTTACAGGAGCATCAACCCGGGGATGAGACGTGACAGATCTGTTTTAGCAGTTTGCACAGCAGCTAGCAGCTCACTCTCTCTCCACTGTGTCTGTGTGTGTGCTCTGTAAGTGCATGTGATGACATCGCTACTTGCAGTTGTGTGTGTAAGCTCCAAAAAGAAAGGCAAACTCGACTGGCAGTGAAAAAGGGGTCAATCGGCTTTAATTAGCAGGTTTACCCGCGTTCAAAAAACCTGCTTATACCCACTACTTTTGGTTTAAAAAGGGAATTAGATGTATTAGTGTGAGAGAAGGACTAACACTCACTCACACACACACACACACACACACATTCATACCCCCACACTCCCAAAAAGGCCCAATCGTACGGATGCCAAATCCAACAGTCAGCAAAGCCCACTCTGTACGACAGCGAGCTCTGATTGGTAGTGGTCACACATGAGGTGCTGTAGCTGCTGAAGTTGGTCTTTAGTATGTATCACAGTGCAGCAGACCTGTACCGAGGTTAGAGCTGAAGAAGAACAGAGCATGTGGGGGTGTAGAGGGGACAGAGAAGATTTAATGACTTTGATGCTGGAGCGAGGGCAAGGTGCAGAAGCAGGTGATGATGAGAGAAGCGACTGGGGAATTAGCACAGAATCCAGATGAAGGGGGAAGAGATGTCAGATGAAGGAAAGTTGAGACAATGGTGCTTGTTTGATTTAAGAAGTAATTAGTGGCTTGAATGAGGCCGTTGGGATCAATTTGTCAATCCCAAAGATCATAATGATTGACAGGTCACGGTCACGACAGGCCTCGTCACAGCACAGCAATGCAGATCTCCTCTGCCCTGAGCGACATGGACGCTACCTCAGCACTTTTGCAAAGTCAGGAGAAAAAAAAGTCCACCGAGGGAAAGGAGAGGAGAGAAAGTGCTGCAAGCAGGCACAAATAAAAGCCAATCACCATAACAATCAAGAACATGAGGAGGAGGACAAGAAGGGGAAAAGTTTTCTCCTGACTGTAAAATATATCACCTCGATGCCTGAAATGCTCTCGCCCCCTTACCGGCAAAGAGACACGACGAGAGATAAAAGAGGATGTATCTGTGGAGGAGTGGGGGGGGGGGGGGTGTTTAGGTAGGTAATGAAAGCCCTGCACTCGGCAGGACAGATCAAATAAAGAGGTATGAGAGCTCAGGCTTGGCTACTGGTCGAGCAGGCCTGTGCCCATTCACTGTGAGGTGGAACAAAAGGTCAATTGAATTTCAGACAGAGGCAGGATGAGATGGATGGGGCAGGAGGGTGAGGGAGGGGAGCATGGCCTGGCAGGAACCACTAAAAACCATCACGCCTGGCAAGGAGCGGGACCCCGCCACGCCGTGCCAAGGACAGGCATAAAACACCCCTCACAAAACCTCCCGGAGCATTAGCATTAGCCTGATTTAGCGCCGGCAATCTCTCATGGTGAAAAGGGAAAAATTCTGCCTTTATTTCCACGGGGCTAATTAGCACTAAGCCGTGCTGCAGCACCATGCAGGAGTCTACGCCAAGCAGAGGTGACAGAGGTGGGAGCAGAGCGCTCCTCGCCAGCCGTCAGTTGAGCTTCCTCAAAGGCCAGAAATATCCCAGAGGATGTTGAGGCGGACAGAAACTTAGTGGAGCGCTAATGTACAGTAATAGGGCTTGAGGGTTTGTGGTATGACTTAATTTATGCCTCCCGTCCCCTGACACATCAGCTCCCCCGTAGGGACTATCTGTCTGAAACATGACAGTTCTCTATCCGCCGCTCATTCAAACTCTCGTCTGTGTTTCCGTTTTTACAAACAATGAAATAAAGTGAACAATAAAACACAAATGGTGCAGTCTGACGGAGAAGATTCTTCAGGAAACCTGTGAAATTGAGAGTGCATCAGCATCTAACAAAGCCTCCCAGACTTCAGTGCACTAATCTGTACCATCGCAGCAGGAATTTTCTTTTTCTCTCTCTGTTTGTTGCATGTTCATTGCAGACGCAGCTAAAAAGCAAACCATTATGAGTGAGGGAGAAAGAATTGTCTTTGCCTCGAGGCTCTCTGACTTGTGCATGCACATATGGCAGGGAGTCGATAGCAACTAACAGCCTCATTAGGCCATATAGACACTCATGCACACAAACAAAGGCAGGGTATAAGGAAAAAAACACCCTCTTAAATGTCACCAAATTACCAAATAAACGTAAACAGTTAGCGTGATTGAGTTAGCCACAAACTTAGAAACATAACACATTTAACACCACATACACTGAGTCTTTCTTTCTTCTCCTGCAGCTGTTTTCCTGTTGAAATCCACCTTCAAAGCAAGGGCAAAACATTTCAAGTTGGCGTGGCCGAGTATCGTAGCAACCTGGAGGGATGCAAATGGCTTCATTGTGAGGCCCTGAAAGGAAGTAAGGAGGAAGAGAGCAGGAGAGCGAGGGGATCGTGGACGCTAATGACTCCGGTGTACTGACGATTAGAGGTGTCTAAAAGGAGAAAGGGAGCGGGATCGGTGCTCCATCTTTTAAGAGGTTCAGCAGACTTTTCATTGCTGAAGGTCGGGCCTGTGTTGTCAACTTTTATGGCTTCTCCTCGATCAGG